AACCATGAGCTTTCTTCTTCTTAGACCCTTCGACTTGTACAACGGGCATGTTTTTCCCTTATTCTTATCGGCTTTCTTCTTCTCAAAAAAATAGCTCTTCTGGTATTGGAGGTGGTAGGGGGGCAACGATGGTAATAGAAGGGCCAAATTTTTGTAACACAAATAACAAGGCGATGGGGTGTGTGAGCAAACGGTCATCGCCTCGACCACCATCCACCTCCCATCATCACCACCACCGATAGCCGCTATAAACTACCACCATCGTCCCTACAACCTATATTAATTCCTCCACAAAAAACATCATTACATTTTTGCCGTCAAATATCACAACAATTCAGATTTGAAAATGGAGAAAGAAAATAATGAAGAAAGTTCAAATTTGGGAAGAAAATCCGTCACCAATAACATAATCACAGTTCTCCCACCGATGAACATCACCAAAATTTAAATCTGAAAATGAAAAAATCAATCTCAATAAGAAAATGGAGAATTTTAGATTTAGGGACAAAGCTGCTGTAGCTCATCTATGAAATTACAGATTCGGGGTAGGTTTAGGGGGACCAATCTTATATCTAAATGCAAGACTGATTTGTAGTGGAAGCCAGAGGTTTTAAGTTGTCGGAGATCTGGTTGCTGATTTGAGGGAGGAAGAGCACCATCAACTGAAAAAAGACAACCTTTTTTCCCCCTTATTGAAAATAGGGTGGTGGCCCCATTTGCACATATGAAAAGTCTGGGCCCATAGTTGCAATTTTTTCTTTTTTCTTTTTAATTTAAATGGGAGGGTATATTGGTCATTTTACGTCAAAAATTGGTAAAAATGATGTTCAACGAAATGAAAAGTGAAAATATGGGCAAAAATGTCAAAATTGAAAGGTATGGATGTTTTTCATAATGAAATCGAAAGGTAGAAACGTTTTGTACCAATTACCCAAAAAAAATATTAAGAATATGAGAATTCTTTCTTATTTTCTTTGGTAAAATATAGGGCTTATTCGGTAGTAATTATGAAAATTGATTTTCTTATCGTTGGAGAGAAAAGTTAGTTCCACTTGTAAGTGAAAAGTCAAAAATGACAATTGAAATAATGAAATAACGATCAAAAATAATTTTTTTGGATGAAAAATTTCTACCAAACTTGCACATAATTCTAACCTTGAAAGTAAAACAAATTGTGTACTATATAATATGATAAAATGAATAAAATTTTAATTTTCTTTTTCTTTTTCAATATAATTGAGTGTCATAGTATTGAAAATTCAAGAGACAACTCGTTTTTCACCCACACATAAAAAGGATAGAACAAGTACAGTACAACTTGCTTTTGGTACCCTCTTGAAGCTGAGAGAACGTGGCCAAGGGCCACCTAAAATGGTCTCTTCCACACAAGTTGCTACCATGTTTTAATTAAAAAGGGTCACATGAAAGAAATGGTGAGTTAGTACATTGACAATAGTCAAAGTTACTTAGAGTTCATTTGACGTGACTTTGAAATTCAAAAAGAATCTTCAAGATCCAAAAGTAACTTTTGAACTCGTTCAAGTAATTTTATAAAGGTGCTTCTTCTAGTTAAAAGAGTTTTTATAGAGTGCTGTTCCAATGTAACTTCCTCTATAAACACTTCTGGAGTGAAAAGTTTTTTTAAATATTAGTTTTCAAACAAAATTAAGATATCTTTCTCTAAAATTCTTCTATAAGAAAAAAAAAAAGCAAAAGTAAAAACATCCCAAACGGGCCCTAGCTCAATTCCTAACTCGAGAGTAAATCAATTATGTGAAGAATGATTTCTTGATTGAGTAAGATAACAAACAAATTAGTGAAGTCAAATGCACGCCAAGATAAAGTTAGTGTCATATGAGTAAAAAGTGGTCGAACTAACTTCTAAGAAAAAAGAAGGCGAGTTCAATAAGACCGTCTCAACCCATATTGTATCAAGTTGTAATGGTAGTGTATTACTCATTGTAAATCTCATCCTTGATCTATCACACATAAGGTATCAAAAGTGATAATGACACGTATAACGTAATATTAAAAAATTTATTTCGTCAAGTATTTTAATATTTTAATAAAAATAATTTTAATATTTGTCCAAGTTAAGAAAATGTCGCGAGGAGATGTCAAGACCCTAACATTTGTACAATTGTACTCGATTATATAGTACAAATATAAATAGGATAAAAATATAAGGCCGACAAACAATAATATATGCATTTTCATCAATGTAATAGTTAATTTATATTAGACGTATTTGAAAGTTCACTATGAACTGTAATGTCCGAGCAAAGGGTAGTAATTTGCTCTCGTTTGATCCCATTAATTTTCATTTTATTTTTTTCTTTTATTTTTAACTACATAATTTTTCATAAAATAATATTAGACGTAAATTTAAAATTTTTCTTTTTTTTTCAACCACTCATTTTTCAAAAAAAATATTATTTCATTCATTTTCATTACCTAAAAGTGGGGCCAAACAGTAAGGGGACAAACATAAAAGTCAGCGTCATTAATTAATGTATATTTTTAGAAAGTGACAACTTATAAATAAATATTTATATAAAAACAATATTTTTTATAATATATAACAAATAATATACCAGTTTCTCGTACTCTCATTTTTTAAATTAGGCCAACGTATATCTTCGAGAACTTCTAAATTGAATAAATGTTAGCTTCTTAATGGTCAATTTAGAATACAAGGTTCAAGTAGTTTTCAATTGTTATTTTCGTCCTTATTTATTATAGTAGAGGTTGTACTGTTGGCAAAATTGAAAGGTTTATAAATCATTAATGCCAAAATCCTAAGCATAATGAAAGCTTTGTATATTCTTCGAGAACTACTAAATTGAATAAATGTTAGCTTCTTAATGGTCAATGTAGAATACAAAATTCAGGACCCGTTTGGTAGTGATTATAAGAATCAATTTTCTGATCGTTAGATGGAAAAGTTGGTACTTGGTCCTACCTGTGAGTGAAGAAAACAAAAATGATGACTGATTATTGGAAGTAACGGTTAAATAATTTACTTTTTTTTGGGTGAAAAATCAGAACCAAACGGGGGCTCAAGTATTTTTCAATTGTCGTTTTCGTCGTTACATAAAACAAAGGTGTACTTCATGTTGGTAGAGT